ATGTGAAGGTTTCTCCTTACGGTGTTTATGAAGCATCACATAGGACGCTGTGGTGTTTTCAGAATAGCAATAGGTGTGTTTGTTATATCTGACTTCACAGGTCTGGTTTCTGAGGTTGTTTTTATCCCATTGGGCAGCCTTATCGTGCAGTGATCATTTAGAATCATCTGTGTTCAGTCGTTACCAGTACACGTTTGGGGCCGTCTGACTTCTTTCTTTGTGTTGCAGGTAAAGAGTACGTGGGGATCGTTCGGCTGCACAACGCCATAGAGAGTGAACATGTGCTGGCCCGGGTGAGTCGAAGAGTCCACCTTGCGTAGCCTGACGCCATTTTCATTTGACCGACATTTGAGAATAAAAAGCAAAACGAGATCTGAGAAGTGCATCTTAGCTTCTGCTGTAAGAGCTAAAAGAATTGGCTGAAATTGCAAACCAAGGGGTCAACCCTGAGCTTGCACCGGTCATAAACCATCCAGATGTTCTCAATGGCCTCTCCACGCGGTTTGTTTAGGCCCTGGAGACGCTGACCGGCGCCCTGTTCCAGCGCCCGCCGCTCATCGCCGCCGTCAAGCGCCAGCTGAGGGTCCGAACCATCTACGAGAGCAAACTGATCGAGTACGACCCGGAGAGGAGGCTGGGTGAGTCAGTGACCGCTCTCATCTCCACCACCCCTGTCCAGCACACTCTGTAACTGTTGCTATGTGGCCAGTGTGAGCTGTGGGTGACGTGTGTGTGTGTGCGTGTGTGTTTTCCAGGCATCTTCTGGGTCAGCTGTGAGGCGGGCACCTACATCCGGACGCTGTGCGTCCACATGGGGCTGCTGCTGGGCGTGGGCGGTCAGATGCAGGAGCTGAGGCGGGTCCGGTCCGGAGTCCTGGGGGAGAAGGTGAGCACGGCGCTCCTCTGAAGCAGGAGCTCCCGGGCCCAAAGCGTTGAGTCCAGCCCTGCTGACCGGTGCAGGTCTGCTAATTAGACTTTGGAACATGAAAAGCAGCGGGGGTGGTCAGCGGACGCCGTCCATCGGCGCCGGGACGCCTCTGCGCTGCTGACATCATCATCGTTAGCCGCCACCGGTCACAAATAATGTGTGTAAAGTAGTCTTTGTGTGGAAATGTGTCCAGGACAACATGGTGACCATGCACGACGTCCTGGACGCCCAGTGGCAGTTTGACCACAACAAAGACGAAACCTACCTCAGGAGGGTCATCTTCCCCCTGGAGAAGCTGCTGGTGTCCCACCGCCGGCTGGTGATGAAGGACAGCGCCGTGAGTTCTCACAGCATGTGGTCAAGACCCCCGGTGGTCATTCAGAAGGCTTTGGGGTTCCATCATCTGTGTCTGTCCGTGTCCAGGTCAACGCCATCTGCTACGGGGCCAAGATCATGCTGCCCGGCGTGCTCCGCTACGAGGACGGCATCGAGATCAACCAGGACATCGTGGTCATCACCACCAAAGGGGAGGCCATCTGCACAGGTCAGCTACTCTCCCGCGCGCGGTCAGCGTGCGGCCACATGATGAGCTGGTTAGCGGCAGCAGCCCCCGGGCCATGGTGACCTGCTATCTATCACCCTTCTCTGATGGCTCCACTACAGGCCCGCGCATCTAAAGCTTGTGTTTGACCAGATGTCACATGACTCGCGCGCTCTTTTCCAGCTGTGGCCCTGATGACCACTGCCGTCATCTCCACCTGTGACCACGGAGTCGTGGCCAAAATAAAGAGGGTGATCATGGAGCGAGACACCTATCCTCGCAAGTGGGGTCTGGGACCAAAGGTAAAACTACACTACCTGTTCGTTTTTTTTTTATTTTTACCAGGGATGAAAGATCAAAGGGAAATGAATAATAAAACAAAAACTCTTCTACAGGCGAGTCAAAAGAAGGCGATGATTCAGAAGGGACTTCTGGACAAACACGGCAAACCCAACGGCAGCACTCCTCAGGACTGGAAAGAGCACTACGTGGACTACAGGTGAGATGGGTGCTCTGTAGCCAGTACACAGATCTGATATCTGATCTGAGATCAGATCTGATGCAGACAGTTATCCCTCTGAGAGCTGCTGCCGTGCTCTCTGAGGGAGTCGCTCTGCTACACAAACCTCTCAGGGCGGGGCTTCTTCACTCTGTCCTCTGCAGAGTGCAGCTCACCTGAGAACAGTACATATATTATATATGTGTATATATTAGGGTTGTCACGATACTAAAGTTTTCAACTCGATACCGATACTCAGGAAAAAACTCGATACTCGATACCATTTTCGATACCACAAGGATTAAAAAAAGACCCCAAAATTTAAATGAATTTTGACGGGTTAGTGTCTTTCATTTCAAACGTACCTGTTACTGATGATATTGTGACTGGTGGCCTGCATTAATAACCCTAACCCTAACCCTCCACCCTTCATAATTGTGAGAAATAAATATTTTTTGGGTTAAACTTGTTTGGACTTATTGTACAAACCTATTTAATATACACTATGTTAACATAATAATATGTGTAGAGTTTAAGTGTTTGAAAGATTAATTTTACAATTTTTTAAATGAATCTCTATATTGCCATGAGGAAATTAGGATTTTCTTGCCTGGAATCTTCCCATTGTTAATGTAATTATAACGGCCGACTTCGATGTGGGTGGAGTCGGATATGTACTTGAATAATGGTAGCGCGTTATTATTAGCTCTTAGCCGAAGCTAGCAGTTCAAGGCTAACAACTTGTTAATGACCATAAACAAGGTAAATAAATACATAAATCTAAGAGAAGGGCGGGGGGGTGGTATCGATACTTTTGAAAATGAGTATCGTATCCGGATACAACATTTTAGTATCGATACTTTTTTGAGTATCGATACTTTTGACAACCCTAGTATATATAGCTCGGAAGTCAAGTTTTTGAGCATGCCAAACTCCTATTCACCAAACTGGTTTTGTTTGACAGCGTCTCCAAGGAGACGGGGGAGCCCGATGCCACGGCCAAGGTAAAAAATCTGCCCCACATGCTGAATATCCAATCACATGGTCACTGGGGATGGGAATCTTCACCACCAAGGCGATACGATACACATCTCGATACACAGCCAACGATTCGATACATTCACGATTCATGGAATTTCTAGTGATAAGATTCGATACGATTCTCCAACCTCCTGCGATCCGGTGCGATACAGAACGATCTAAATTTAAAATGCTGCGATACGATACGATACGATACAATACGATGCGATGCAATGCAGAAGAAAAGTACACCATGGACTACATAGTTCAAGTTATGGCACGCAAGCTAACTGTGTCTTTTATTTTGAAACAAAGGAAGTGCAACTTAGAGAGTGATTGTCTCTCTGAAACTTTACAAGAAACGCAACTAAAACTCAAAGACACGTTTCTAAAAAATTTATAATAATAGAAGATAATAATCGGTTTGTATCGATGCAGGTAGTTTTATACGATGCATTTCGAGTTTATGTGCGGTTTTTACCGATGCAGACGTTTGCAAATCGATGCAACCGTATCGCACAGGTCGTTCCGATGTTCCGATACGCATCGGTGAATCTTGCCATGCCTAGTGGTCACCTGTGGTGTGGTCCGTCAGCCCCTGACCCTTTGCTCTGACCCGCAGAGGAAACGAGAGGCGGCGGAGAGCGACGGGGAGGCCCCACAGCCCGGCTCTCCATCCGCAGAGGAGCTGAAGAAGGAGAAGAAGAAGAAGAAGAAAGAGAAAAAGGCCAAGCTGGAGGAGGAGGAGCAGGCAGAAGAGACGGTGGAGGATCCCGCCGCAGAGGTGAGGAAGACCTACCGTGGCGTCCCCCGGAACTAGAAACTGCCGTTTTTTCAGGCTCCCCCGCTTCCACACACCCGATTCAGATCAAACCGATCTCTTCTAAAGATGAATCGGGGCTGCTGATGAGTTGAGAATCAGGTGTAGAAGCAGGAAAACCTCTAAAAAACCTGCAGGAAAGAAACCCCCCAGGCCTGGAGTTGCCCACTCCTGACTTATGCCCTTGGTTATTTAGTGAATTCCCGCTAAATATTTAAATGCAACGCAATTGGCCGATCGTTTAGATCCGTGGTTTGCTACTTTTTCCCTCTTGCAGGCTGGAGAAAGTGTCAAGAAGAAGAAGAAGAAAAAACAGAAAGATGAGGCTGAGTGAATGGTTCCCGGTCCCTCTTCACATCTGTCCCGTCTCATCTTCTGACCTGGAAAACGCGTTGTACAGATGTTCCCAAAGCAAGGACCTGCAGGAAAACCTCTGAAAGACTATTGCTGCATCCAAGATGAACCCAGACATTTCTAATCCAACAGGATCCAGGACTATAAGCAGCAGGAATCCTGTGGGAAATACGGAGCTGAGTTCCTCTCCCAGAGCTAAAAAAAACTCAGTTCTCAGCTGCAGATGTGGATAGACTTGTTTTTTTTGTTTTGTTTTTTGTTTTGTTTTTTTAAAAAGAGGGCGTGTCCCTCAACATGAAAGTTGAAATGTTTAACTTTGAACATTTGATGGCTTTTCTATATTTTACTGTAAATAAAATATTATTTCATGTTTGACAGTTATTTACATTTTATACAACAACCCCTTTCCTTTGGCCCCTTCTGTCAATTTGTTTACGTTGTTTATGGTCATTAACAAGACGTTAGCCTTGCTAGCTAATTATTAGCTAATGGCTAATAATAACATGCTACCATTAATCAAGTACATATCTAACTCCGCCCACATCCAAGTCGGCCATTTTTATTAGGTCGCCAATAGGAAGGTCCCAGGCAAGAAAATGGTATCGCCTCATGGCAATATAGTAAAATTTAAATTAATCTTTCAAACAATTAAACTTTCTACATAATATTATGTTAAAATAGTGGATGTTAAATAGGTTTGTACAATAAGTCCAAACAAGTTTAACCAAAAAATATTAATTTCTCACAATTATGAAGGGTTCAAAACACTTCATCTTAGGCAGATTAAAAAAAAGATAAAAAATGTGTCTGCATTGCAATGCTTTCTGACTGATTTTATTCACGCAAGCATAGTTTTAAAAAAAAAATAAAGATACACATTTTTACAATTAATCACACCGTCAAAATCCTCATTCCAATGCTATGGTCAACGGTGTATTAGAAATATTCAACAAAATATTGTATGAGTAAACCATAGAAATGGGGAATTTGAGAGGTTAGTTTTGACACACAGGGAAAACTCAGCAAAATTGAAGAAGTTCAGTGTTTTTCTTGTGTTTCTCCACGTGTGTCTGATGTGTACAAGCTGGTTTAAGCCTTCTGCTCTTATTTTGTAGATCTGCTGCTTAATATTAAACAGACAGTGAGATAATAATCTCCATGCAGATGAAGGCTTTTCATATGATAGACAGGGAGAAAAAAATACAGATTTACTTTACACCGCAATAGAAACTCAAGCAATGCTTTTCTGAACTATTCAGAATTATTTATGTGTGATTTTTGCTTGTTACACAGTTCTGTTATAAATCATTATATACTGCTGATGGGGCTCATATGATACAACTTCCCTCTGGTTTATTTCCTCTCCACGTACTTGTGACTTTATTGTTGTAATTAACTTGTGCTTTTCTTTTTGAGAAGTGCGGTGAGCTGAAAACTTTAAATGAATGGCTCCTCCTTTGCATGGCAGCATCTTTTAAAACAAACAATAACACAATCGGAACATTTAGCTTTTTCCATTCACATTTCACTACAGCCGGTTTTAAGGACATGTCACATTGTTGGCAGGAAATAAAAGACTCCCAGACACTGACCGAAGTGGAACAACAAATTTATAAAATGGAAAATATCAAGTGTGAGTGATTTAAATAACTTTAGTCCTTATCATGTGGTTAACTAGCCTTGTGAATGTCAAAGTTTTTTCATGATCAGACCAGAAAATAGAGATTTTCTCAGTGTAATACTCTTAAACATTGGATTGATTAAAGAAAATATTCAAAAAAGTGGAAGAAATAAAGATAATTGATCAATATTTGTTATCATACATCATTCATATATATATTTTTAAATTTAAACTCACTTTAGAAACCTTTTTCTGCCCTAAAAATGTTCTTTCAACCCACTTAGATAAACATAACTGGTCTGCTAAATCCTCATCATCTACTGAACCAGTACAAAAACTTTTATGTTTTTGAATATAAAAGCCACAACTACCCATTTATTGAAGCAGTAAAAATACTTTTAGATGATTCAATATAAAAGCCAAAACTACTCATTTGTTTTGCCCAAACAGGATGAGACCAAATTTGATGCTAATGTGTTGTGTTTCCATGCTAACCTAGCCAAAATGGTCTCCATCTTTCTCTGGGTGTGACAGATTACAGGGAAACACACTCCTAATTTCAGGAAGCAAAATCTAACTTCTTTAGGAGAATTTTTACACAAATGTTTGAGTGTGTGTTTTTTAATTTTTCAAACATAATCACTGTTAAAAACATGTTTGACGCCTAGCGACCGGCTAAATCCCATGTCCTTCCCTTGGTGAGAATTTATTTCTTTTCCTCACTAAGAGTTGCTCTCTACTCAATAATTGTCTTTAAGTTAAGACTCCTACTACATGGATTTTAGGAAAAGTTACTACCTATCTTAAATGGTTCTAAGAAGCTTCTGGAACAAAGGTCCGGTTTTAGGGATGTAGCGTCCCCGGCTAATAGATGGTCGGACTCTTTTACTGATGGTTCATATCCTTTCTATTCGAACGGTATCACATGAACTCACCGTAAGAGCTAAAAGAAATTGAAGAATAAGAAAAATACATCTACGTTCCAATAAACAGTCTTTTAAACTTTACAGACAAATTATCGTGTTATCTTAGATTAAAATAGATCGGCACAATATTACCACTTGATACCGCAAACACACTTTACTTATTTAAAACATTAATAAAACTTAAAACCTGACACAATATAATACAAAAAACAATACAATCTTTGTGCCCTTTTAGCCAGGAGCTAATGCTTTTAAATAAACTTTTTGACACTTTAAAATATCGACCGTTTTTTTTCAACGTAAATATGTAAGAAAAATCAGTTGCTGCAGTGATGCTTGTATTGCCTTTATGCCATTCTGCATTTGATACACTAAAAATCAAATGTATTCGAGGATAATATTTGAATCGTGATTTTGTAAGAAACCTTAATCTTTTGTGGCTTTTGTCTGGGTGAAAACACACAAAAGCTGTTGAACTTAAACACACCCGTTCCGCTCATTGCGAGGATTGCAGAATAGCTGGATTCCTACTCAGAAAGACTTACGGACAGGGTGTGTTGGTTTACTTTTGAGTGTGACAAAGCCTGAACATTGAATGAGGCAGATCCTACTTCAGTCTTTTTGGAATGGAGAACAGGGGCTTGAAGTTTAGGGTGTGGCTCCATAGCAACTTGGACTGACTCCAATAGTACGGCAAATGAGTATGAAAAGTGAACCAAAAAAAGAAATGTAAGCCATTTAGAAATAAAAAAGCACTGTTAAAAAACAAACGTAAAAACACGTGCATTCAAACCGTTGACTTAAAAAAAACTAAGCGCAGATAAACATGAGAGGTGTGAGTTGACAAACAAGGGAAATGTACCAGAAATTCCACAGTATGTGGAAACAGGTTCAACGTATGGGAAGCAAAGCATGACTCACTCAAAGTAGCAAAGACAAATCCCTTTTTCCCAGAGGTTCAGTTGACATGACAACACATCATAATAGACCCAACATGCTTTATCAACAGATAGCCAAAATGAATGATGTTCGGCTTTCAGAGAGAACAAAAAAACGTTCATATGAAGGATAAAAAAAGGTTTGTAGTCCGACATACAAAAAGAGAATGACTGAGTGCTCTGTGGACTGAATTACTCCTGTTGGAGACAAACATCTACTAACACGAAAACTGGAAATTAAAACATTGTTCAGTTCATGGGTTGAGTTGGGATCAGAGAAGTATCAGTTATGCTTAAGGTTTGAATAGAGTCCTACTGTCCTCTGAAGTTGGAAAAACAGGTTTGGACATGTGATCAGGGCGAGGCGCAGCACTTAAAACACACCCACATTTCACATTTTCATCAGTTTCCCTGTGAAGCACTCCGGAGAACTCGGGTATGTCCCTTCACTTCTTTACTTTTTGCCTTAATTTCAGTTCGGATTTTAACATGAGAGTAACGCTGCTTCTCTTCCTCCTCCTAAATCTGGAGGCCACTACTTAGAATAATTCTTTCTTGGGTTAGTAGGGGTAAACTTTAAAAGGGAGTTCTGTTTGTCACTTTATGCTTGGTTGTGCAGGAAGTGTTTTAACTATGTGTTCTTTCACTGAATTAAATAGGCTATTCTTCCATTTAGCTTCATAGGTGTAGTAGCATTGAGGAAAAAGACTAAACAGAGAATGTTTTATGACTCTGGCCTAGCTTTGCTGGTTAATGAGGTAACCTCAGACATACAGTCATCTCTCTGTCTTGTTGGTCAGCCCGTAGCATTTAAAAGATTAGAGCTGCAAAAACACTCATGAGTCATCGACATACCGCTTCTTTTTTCCTGTGTGTGGTATAGAGGTTCTGTAGTAGTTGGTTTCAGTCACTGGCTCTGATACGGCTGACCCAACTGCTACTGCACAGCTTATTTCAACTCCCCAGCAAAGACTGACAGAAGATATTAAACATTTAGGTTTTTAGACATTGATGGACATTAGCTTCCTTCACCATGGTCCATAGTGAACCCACAGATATTGGGAGAAATCATTTGTTCTCTTTAAAAATGATCTTTTGTTTTCTTTAAATCAATTATTATATTATTTTTCATACACCATATTACAAAGCAAAAGGATATACCAAAAGTGATGACTGATGTTTTTTCCAGTCTTTCCATGATACTGCACAGCTCAGCTTAGTGTTACTTGGCTTCCTATTTTGGGGATAATGCATAAGAATACTTTAGCAAATGTTCACCCGCAAACTGGGTCTATTATGTCAAGTGATGTAAAAACACTGCAGATTGATCGGTCCTCACTGGAAAAGCTTCAAGGCTGTTCCCCATATAAGCTCATTCTTATTGGATTTAGTCTCTGTCGTCACATGATTTGCCAACTCAGAGATGTATCAGAACTACTTTGTTCTGCCTCATTCATACATGTCATGATACACAATCAAAGCCCATCAATCATGTCTTTAAAAAAGTAAACGTGAAAGATCCCTGTACACGTTCTAAATGTGTACAGGGATCACATATCCAACCGCACCTTCATAAATCAACAGTGCACATTCACACATGCTTCTTTGTTTCTGTGTTTACCTGATTTCAACATAGTTCAAATACTCGCTCTGAAAAGGTTGCCAATCTAACAGGCGGTGACACAGTCACATGGTAAAGTGACCACACAGACACGTGATCACATTCAATTCAATTCAATTCAATTCAATTTTATTTATATAGCGCCACATCACAACAACAGTCGTCTCACAGCGCTTTCCAAACAGAGCAGGTCAGACCCTACTCTGAAGTTAATTACAGAAACCCAACAATTCCCACCATGAGCAAGCACTAGGCGACACAGGCAAGGAAAAACTTCCTTTAACAGGCAGAAACCTTTCCACATGCTTGCAACTAAGCAGAATTTGATGTGGCTGATCTTTTTTTGTCAGGAATATTAGCATGTAAACGATCAGTCAATGATGATACTTGATTCATGTTTCAGTATATTAAAAGTATTTTTAATTTACACATATTGATAGATCAGTACGGTCAACAAAGATCATTGTATGTGCGTGCCTGTATCTGTGGAAGATGTTTCTAAGTAGGTCAGTGTAAATAGAGTCTTTAACCTGACCATGGCTGATTTTTTCCTCTTTCTTTCAGGTGTCAGAAGAGCAGCATGGATGTAAGTCTATTTATTTATTTGAATGATAAAATTGGAAGTGCTATTATCAAGAGTAACAGTATTTTTTCAAGCTCAAAAAATACATTTGCAGACCATTCAATACGAAGCAAAAAAAGAGGAGATTCTACACAAGGCTTTTCAAGGACAAGTTACTATCAAAATAAAACAGGAAATGACAATACAACCATGGAGACCGGACAAAACACCAAAAATCACCCAGGCGTGACACAGATATGATAAACAGGGTTATGTTCATAATGAGAGTATTATAAGAAAAGTAACGTTTTTTATTTTCTCCTGGACTACTGTAAATATTCAGGACCACAATGATTATGTTCCCAAAATGAGATTACATTATTTCCATACATCTGTGACAAGTACACAGAATAATAATAAACGTCACAAAACACTTTCAGAATCAGGCCAAGATTTGGGTTCTCAAACAAGAAGTCTAAGTTAAGAAAGGTAGCTCAACGATGGAGACAGCAGTGAACCTAAGAGCAGATTTACATTGAAGTACATCATAGTTTGAACCACACAAAGGACATTTTTTCTCACACAGACTTTCCATATCCGTTTCACACATGCACTGCTGTCCTAAAATATCATGAAGACATTTTCGAAGGAGTTGCAGTTAGTAGGGAAAAAAAATCTAGAACATTTGCGAGAGAGTCCCCTTTCGACTCTTATTTGAAAAATTCTAGTGTGGTCCTGATTGAAGATTCTCTTTTTAAGCCCTGTATCCTGATATATACTGATACATGCTATGCTGATACCAACCTATCACATGCTGTTCTCCGTTGGTTGCAAAGGACACAGCATACTTTTTGTTGTCTTTTTAAAAAAAAATTAAAACATTGCACCCTGATATTCACTTCCGTTACAAACCATGAAAAACTCCTTCAGAGAAGTTCCTATACATACATTTAAGAACATTTCTTCTGGAAAAAAGACAAAATTGTTCTGAAAATTTACGCTTTTCATGTGTGGAAGTGACTTCTTTCTCTCTCTCCATCTCATATTAGCTATCAGATGCTCTCGGTGATGGGCCCTATGGTGGCAACAACCAGTCAGGTCCCAACAATCCTTCTTGGCCAGGTACAACCATAAGTCTCTTCCTTTCTGTTGCTTTTACAGATTATGAACGAAATGTTTCATTCTATATTCAACCACACAAGGTGTATGGTTTAATATAACTAAATAATATAAGTAAAAGAATATACTCAGTCATAGAGATAATACTGATGGAGGTGTTTGTGCATCATTTTAGCTGTTTTACGATCAATGAAAAGCTAAATTAAACATACAGAAAAGAAACAACAGTATATTGATATCCTAACCTGTCAACCCTTAAATACTTTAAATGAAAACATATGCAGGAATTACACTTTGAGTTTTATGTCCTTTAATTAGTGAAGTCCGCTAAACAGTTCCCCAAATAGAAATAATTTTATGAAGATAATATCAATTCATGGCCCTGCGATGGACTGGCGGACTGTCCAGGGTGTACCCTGCCTCTTGCCCGTTGACCACTGGGATAGGCTCCAGTTCCCCCCGCGACCCCATGAGGGAATAAGCGGTATTGATAATGGATGGATGGATGGATAATATCAATTCATTTTAATCAAATTTGATTTAAGGTCAACCAACTGCGAACCCCACCTGGCCTGGAGGCCAACCAACTGCCAACCCCACCTGGCCTGGAGGCCAACCAACTGCTAACCCCACCTGGCCTGGAGGCCAACCAACTGCTAACCCCACCTGGCCAGGAGGCCAACCAACTGCTAACCCCACCTGGCCAGGAGGCCAACCAACTGCCAACCCCACCTGGCCAGGAGGTCAACCAACTGCTAACCCCACCTGGCCTGGAGGCCAACCAGCTGCCAACCCCACCTGGCCTGGAGGAAACCCCAGTCCCTCCCCTTACCACCAACCTGCTGCACCTGGACCTGGACCTGGACCTGGACCTGGACCTGGACCTGGGCCAACCATCCCAACTATCTCTCAAAAGAGTTTGGTGAGAAAAAACCAAAACAAGTCAAAAACAGACACTGAGAATGACAGAAGTAAAGAAAAGTGTGGTATGACGCTATTTTCATTGTTTTCTATTGCCAGCCGGTCCCCTACAACCAACCGTTGCCGAATGGAGTATATGACAAACTGCTCATAACCATCCGTGGGACCATCAAACCCAATGCTGACAAGTCAGTATGAATATAATGACATTTCTATGTTGGTTTGAACTGTATACATTTCTGCTGTTTCCCAAGCAGTCATTAGAAGTGAGTAAAAGGTGCAGTGCACACCGATCTACCAGAACACTATGATTATCAACCTAATGTTAAATTGGTCCTCCTCATCCTGCCAGAACAGCTTTGACCAGCCTGGATGAGGTACACTAACAATAGATCCCTTGAGTCCTGCAGGTTGTTGGATAGGGTTTGTAGTTGACCGTGGTTCCTATAGAGGCCATCAGATCCTATCGTATCAACATCTGTGGATATTGTAGGCTGGGTGACAATGTAGAATTTCTTTCCACCAGCCTATCATTTGCTGTTCTCCTTTGAAACAGGTGCTAATGATACAGGCGATTTGTGTTCATGATCATTTACAAAAGGCTTGTTGTCAGAGAACTATGTTATTCATCAGGATCACATTTGACTTCGGCGCGTCCAGTGATCTGGCCTTCCACTTCAACCCTCGCTTCAATGAGAGCGGCAAGAAGGTGATCGTCAGGAACAGCTGCATCAACAAGAAGTGGGGCAAAGAGGAAAGAGATCTGCTGCACTTTCCCTTTGTCAAGGGACAACCATTTGAGGTTAGACACTTGTTCAGTTCATGTTGATGCTAACTTTCGGTTGTTTTGTTCTTGAATATGCTCATGAGGCATAGGGTTATGGTTTAAGGGAACTATGACGTAATTAAGTATATCACACTATGCGTTTTGCTCTTGCAGATGAAAATTCTTTGCACAAACCAACTGTTTAAAGTGGCAGTCAACAATTCTCACCTGCTTGACTACAAACACCGCATCACCAACCTAAGATCAATCAACAAACTCAGCATCTACAATGACATCAACCTTTCCAGTGTTGAGATGGAGACATTGCCCTGAGGGATTCTTCACAAACCTGAGATCTACTGGGGATCTAAAGAAATCATGTACAGTTTTTTATCCAGAGTATCTTCATTGCTAAATGAAATACAAATAAAATTGACTAAATGTACCTTAGACCTAAAGATCTACAAGATATTCTCTGAATTTCCATGTATATCTACAGAAGAGTCACTGAGAATCCTTACCCTCTGCCTGATAATCAGAGTGATCTTGTGGTTCAACAAGAGTTCTGGGAGTGAACTGTAGTAGTTCTCCATAATATGAAAATAATAACGAAGGAAATTAATAATAAGGAAAATTATTCATTAACAGAGGAGTGTAAATCCATCCGCAATAGATTGTCTGATATGTCATTGATTGAACATCATAAATACATAATCAACAACCAATTCTGTTGTTTCCTTTCATATGTCTCTGCTCAGATTATTCAAATTGACCGCCATTGTTCAGTAAACTGTACATGTATGTTTGTATGTCTGTTTGTTTCTGCCATAGTGTCTTTAGAAGTTTCTAATAACATCAGATGTTTAAGTCTTTGTCTCTAAATCAAAAGAACCGTCATTCATCTAAACATTGTAGCCCAAGCTTTTTGGAGGTTTTGCTGGCTAGTATTCAATTCAATTCAATTAAATTCAATTTTATGTATATAGCACCACAACAACAGTTGTCTCACAGCGCTTTCCAAACAGAGCAGGTCAGACCCTACTCTGAAGTTAATTACAGAAACCCAACAATTCCCACCATGAGCAAGCACTAGGCGACACAGGCAAGGAAAAACTTCCTTTAACAGGCAGAAACCTCGAGCAGAACCATGGCTCAGGATGGGCGGCCATCTGCCTCGGCCGGTTGGGGGTGAGGGGAAAGAGAGGGCAAGAGAGAGAGAGAGAGAGAGAGAAGGACAGAGGGAGCAGAGAGCAGTAACACACACCTACAGTAACACATATAAATGATGGGAAATGGCAATGATATTGAGACTTATGATAATGATAGCAGTTATGACAGCAATAACACTATGCAGAGGAGGATGTCTGCTTTTGCTGTAGAACCCAGGAGAGCCATTCTGACACACTTAAAAGTCACCAAATCCTATTACAATCTGTTCAAGAGTAACCTCACTCTGCTGGAACAGTGTAAACAAGATATTAAAAATGGTCTAGTTTGCCTCTCTCTCTCATTGGGAGCATAAATTCAGTAAAGATTAATATTGTACCAGAGTTTTTGTATCTGTTTCAGGCGTTGCCTGTTTTCATACCACATTATTTAATCAAATGTTTTTATTCCTTTATATGGAATAATAAACCAGCTCACATAAGAAAAGAATTTATGGAAAGACCAAAAGGTATAGGTGGGCTTTCGCTTCTAAATTTGTCTACGTATTATTGGGCTGTGCACTTTGATGCCACTTCTCTGTGGTTAAAAGTTTTGAATGATAGGATCGCTGCATGGCTCCAAACTGAAAACGTTACAAAGAGTGCCCATTCAGTCACTGCCTTGCTTTTTGCTCCCCTACCATTGCTAGTTATTAATGTTAAATATAATATAATTGTAACCCAATTGTTACGTACAATCATAAACCACTTTAAAAGATGTCTGGGCATTCATTCACACTTATTCATTCAGTGTTTCTATTCATTCACCAATAACACGTAATCACTTTTTTCAGCCATCTTTATTATACGATTGGGTTCAAGGTTTGGTAGAAGGGGGATTCTTAGTATAGAGGACCTGTATGTCAGTGATACTTTTGCTAGCTTTGAGCAGCTATCCAGAAAATCTGGATAGATTGGGGTCGGGGAGTGAGGCTCTTCGGGCAGTGGGGACTGCTCGGGGGGCCTTTCTCTGTGACTCTGCAGGGCCGCCCAGCCCTCTGTTTTAAATACTTGTTAGACACTGAGTTTCCTGAGTTGTCCTCAACCCACTCAAACTATAGAGCCAGAGGGGCGAGGGGGTTGAAAACGCTTCTGTTTAACTGTGTGTATGGAAATTGAACGTATTTTGTCTGCACCCTTCACGTCATTTCGTACCCTGGTCCCCAATTTACAGGCAAAAATTTTAATCTACCAAGCCTGTAGTCAGGTTTGTGAAAAAAATGGACAGTTGAGTTGAAGATGCAGTTACAGGCCAGCTTTTACAGCACTGATTGGAGTGTCTTCAAAGCTGCAGGAACAGAAATGACTGATACTGTGACGTTTTAAAAGACACTTTACGGAAATGCTGGTGTGCAGACCAAGACCTTCTGCACATTCAACAACAATAAACTCGGGTTCACTGCAAAACTAAGACAGCTATGCTAGGACAAGGAGAAGTCATACCGGAGTGGGGATAGGGTCAAATAAAAGCAGACCAGGAACAAGCTTGGGAGGTGAAAGAGAAACTTCACTGGAAACCTGACAGACCGCTTCTCTGCCCGTTTATGCCTCCAGACTATTAACCAACCACAACAGAACATCTTCCCACACTGTGGGTGCGCCCTGCTGGCGGAAGACCTAATCCACATCGGCTGCAAAACTTTCATACCTTCCACTTCCCTCAACATCCCATCTCCATTCAGATCTTCAACAGCTCCCTGGAGCTGTGCGAGGGTACCCCTCTTGCCTCAAACCCCACCATCACCCCACGCCTCAAGAAGTCCCCCGTTGCAGGATGGAACAACTACAGACTAGTTGCCCAGACGTCTGTGGTTAAGAAATCCCTTAAAGACCTTCATAGCTGTTGGCTTACCCGAAGGACATCACTGTGGTTTACTTATAGGCCAAACCGGCCAAGGGATGATGCAGTCAATACGGCTATATGCATATATGCTATTGATCCTAATTGGCTATCTGCATTGATCCTAATTGTGAACTTTAACTCTGCCTTAAACATCACCATCCTCCACTGGACCTACAGAGACTTTATTGGGAAGATAGACCAGGAGAGTTTGTACTTCCCGCATAAACTCAGGAAATTCAACTTGCCCCAGGAGCTAATGATCATTTTCTATTTTTCAATAATGTAGAAAATGATTTCTGTCTGTCCTAACGGCGTCCTTTGTGATCTGGATGTGCCACCAAACACGACAATGAAAAACTACAGGAAACAATCAGATCTGCATAGAAGATAATTGGCATTGACCTTACCCCCATCCAGGACCTCCACCTGTCCAGGATCATAAAGCTGGCCGATAAAAGTCACCCACCTTACACCCGAGACAGAACCTGTTTAGATTCCCCCCCTCAGGTAAATTTACAGAGCACTGTACACCAAAACCACCGGCCATAAAATTGCGCAATGATCCCTGATAAAGTCTGAGTAATCACAGAGTGTGAGTCCAAGATCAAGAACGTGGCATTAATCATACACACTGACTGTCCAACCCTGTTGTTACGAGTATTAGGGCTACACTTAAAGAGTAAAAAAGGAATAAATTACGAGATTAAAATTCATATTAAATATGGCTAGAATGACAATATGTCATAAATTTTCTATGCTATTTTAGAGGGGGTGATTTGATTTAATGAGGTCTGTGGAGCTTTTCCAGGAAATGTACTTTAGAAAAGGTTTTACAAACAAGGAGATAGGTAATCTTTTGGCACATCAGCATCGGATTGTAATATATATATATAGGGTATCCAAGAAAAAACATGTTTTCCCCAGAAAGAACGGCAGACTGGGAGGAAATAGCTGATTCTGTGAAGGGGGAAATGGCTGGTAGTGCTTCAGCGTTATTGGTGAATGTATCGGCGGGCCATTCAGAGGGGTTTGGTGTTAATTTATTCTCGCCATATTCAATAACAACTTTAATTTCGTAATTAATTCCCCCCCCAAATGTTCTTAAATTGGCCCTAATATTCCCGCGTATGTTGTACACACCTGCTCTTGCCCTCTATTCTAGTTCTGAAAGTCTAATTTATGTTGCACACCTTCGTTTTTAAATATTCATACCATTTTCATATTGCTGGAAAAAAAATCTGTGTTTCTTCTTTGGTAAAAAAAAAAAAAAATAAGAAAGAAAAGGGAAGAACTATAGACATATATGTCTATGGGAAGAACTAGTTTTCTAAAATTGAAACTACAGGCAATCCCACCACTTTCCACCGATTGGCCAATCCACTTGCAGGCTTCTGACGTCATGACGCAGCGCTCTAGATTGACGTGCGTGCCCAGTCACAGTAATAGTTCGTCTCTCAGAGAGACCGATACTTCTCCAACGGCTTTGCTCCGCTGGAGAGACGTTGGAAGTAGCCTTTTTGAAGAACCAGGTACATTTTCTGTGAATAATATATACATGTATATACCTGGAAGGAGGATTTTAGCAGCTCCGGTCGCTGTCAGCAGTTTCCAGAGGACAGAGACGGTGGAATTTCTTCCCCTCAGGTTGGTGTGACCCTCGGCCTCTACTCTGCCAAACACCATCTTTACGTTTGAACACCGCGTCTTAAATCCAATCTTTGTTTTCGAGCTACTTAGAGGCTTCTCTCCGTTTCTGTGGCGGTCGGTCGTCAAAGTTAGCACCGGTGTCAGATACGTTACGCTCCTTATGAGCGGACACCGCTACCGTGTGGTTACGTTTAACGCCTGTCATTAACGGTGGTTTTCCGTTCCGTGTCTGCGGCGGAGGCCCCGGTCGTCTTACTGTTGGCTACCAATTCTGCCACCGACTCTCACTAGAAACAGTCTCGTCTCATTTTCCACGGTCTGTAAGGCACGACACTCAAGTTTCCAGCAGGTTGGCCCAATGCATGGACACTCCATGTCGATGGCGAACGACGAAGATTCTCTAGTTTCAGAAAACAGACGAGTAAGAAATGTAGCGCAAAACTTTTTATTTTATTTCTGTGTCCAAAGTGATATAATTTGTGTCATTGTGAGCTGGTGGTTTCTTCTGATTCGGTATGAATCCAGCTAAAACCTATGGGTAATGCAAACTAGTTTTAGGGGCTCGTTTTGAAGTCAAACTTTGCGTGTGTGTGTGTGTCTTTAAAAACCTTAGCTTCTTCCTGTTTGTCAGTCTACGTTTACCCCAAACCCAGCCGCAGAAGAAGAATCTCCTGGGCCAATCAGCGCAGGGGAGGGGCGGGCCTTAGCCTTCCTCCCCCCAGTGATTCGCGGCTTTTCTCACTCATCGTAACACAAGCTTTAAATTGTATCACATGCTAGTCCCCGAACCAGTATTATCCAACTGCAAACCGCCCTCCATTCCTCCCTCTGGCCCTGGGCCATTCCAGTTTCAGTGTGACTTGTTAATGTTTATTTCTCCAAAGCTATGAACTTTGATTTTATTTCATCTTAATACAACATTCGTGGAGTTTGTAAAGATGCATTGCTGGTTAGATTGACGTACTTACTTGGTTTGGCTTCATGAAAATGAGTTGCACACCAACTTAGCATTTATCTTATTGGAATTTGCTGCTGTAGATAGCTTGTGGTGCTTTTCCGCTAGTGCTTAGTCAGCACGGCACAGCTCTACACAGTGTTTTTGCATTACTTTTTTGCATAACTTTAGCACCTACTCAGTCAGGGTTCCGTTTGGGCAAACTGGGCCATCGGCAGGCTGCTGGGGGCTGATTTTCCAGGGGGTCGCATGATTTGATTGCAGCTCCTTCATGTGATCTCCACCTATTTGAAAAACATGGCAACAACCATCGCACATACAAACACTACAGTCCAACGTCTTCGTCGTTGTATTGTGCTTCGCATTTAAATGACCATCTTTCTGTTCAGCTGTAGACTTGGGGGAGGTTCCATGACCTGCTCAGCCCTTCACGACTCGACTCGTTTTGGTTTTC